AAAAAATTAGCTGGGCATGGTGGCACATGCCTGTAGTCCCAGCTACTCGGGAGGCTGAGGCAGGAGGATCGCTTGAGCCCAGGATTTTGAGTTTGCTGTGAGCTAGTATGATGCCATGGTACTCTATCCCGGGCAACACAGTGAGACTCTGTCTCAAAAAAAAAAAAAAAAAAAAAAAGAGTTCAAAAGAAGACTTGCTGCCATTTTCAACATGAAATAAAATTAAATGGCATAAAGTCATTTTTTTGTATGATCTTTAGAGTACGTACCATAATTTTGGATGTTCTGTAAACCCAACTTGATGGTTTTTACTAGGGTTTTACCCACATTACTCCCTCTAGAAGTTAATGGTATGAGACCTCCTTTGAAATGTTATATACCTTCAGAAGGAATTGGACACCGTATGTGTTGGTCATCTACAAGAAGATACCTCCGGGAGTGCATGAAGCTTGTGAAGAAGATACTGTTGGGTGTTGTCGACTGAGGAAGTTACTTTGGTAAGGTGTGAAGCCGATACTGTGTGTATCTTTGACCAAGTCCATTGATCTGGCTCTAGGCGGAGGGAGGTAAAGTCTTTGTTGCTTGATCTGCCTGGCAAGTTATGTTGTTGCACAGAGGATAGGTAAACAGATGAGTTCTCCAGCTAGATTTGGATGTAGGATTCATTCCTCATGCTGGTGATCCTCAAACTGACAGACTTCAGAATCACCTGGGGAGCTTGTTTGACATAACATTTGTAAAGTCCATTCCCAGAAATTCTGAGTCAGGAGGTTGAAAATCTGCATTTTAACATGGACCTTAGGCAACCTATATTTGGACCTTGCTTATAGGCCTGCAACTTCAAGTCTTCCTTCTGGCAGGGGGAACATCAGATTTGAGTTCTTCTGCAGGTCCCTCCTAGCTCTGTGAGTTTGGAGCTAATTGACCTCTCTTCTTGTTCCTACCTGCAAAACAGAGATGATGTTGGCTGAAGCGCCCTCTCTCACTGGGTGCTTGTTGGGATCTGAATGAGCGGATGGACCAAAAAAAAGCAACTATGCATTAGAAAGTTCTGAACAGACAAAAGGCATTTATGGCATTGGTTCTGCAGATCCAGTCTGAAATTCTCTTTATAGATTAAAAAGGCTTAGGTTAGGGTTTTTGTATCCTGAGAATTCAGGATGACATTCCTTAAGATAGACTTTGGATATCTTGTAAATTAAGTAACAAGTTGTTTTAATGTTTCTTTTTCAGCTTGGTGGTATTGACAAGTCTGTCTCCCTTCTGTCTTCAGACTATGATTTTCATCTTGTTTTTTCCCCAGGTGAAATTGAG